CTCAGAGCCAAGGAGAACAAGAAGAAGTAGTCAAAATGGTACCAAACCAGGATACTTACATGGTATCAATAAAATTAGGATGATTCTATTTCCTTTATTTGTAATCGGTTTAAAATATCTGAATAGCCCCTGGATGGGCTATTACACCTGCTCTTAACATTCCTCTCAATGCTGACTCCTCTGGTAAGAAGGACTGTCCTCCAATCCTCATTCTCTGGTTGAATTATTTTCTACTGATAATTAGGCATACCCAAAGCACAGGCTGTGCACAAACTGTAAGATGACCAAACTACTCTACAGAAAAAACAAAAACTTAAAGAAATTTAAAAACAGAAGAATTAAGATGGGAGTGATCCAGAAGCGAGAGAAGTATGTGTATAATATGGTAAATACATCTCCTTAAAGATTAAGAGGTTAGGAAATATATCTTCATCTAAGAAGAAAAATATTGCTTAGAATAGAAATAGGAAGTTAGAGGAGTATCTTATAGAGAGAGGTTGGAAAATAAGACCAGAGAGAAAAGTTATGGAGTAAGATAACGATCTCAAGATTGGTGGAGAAGAAAATCATTAATAGTATTGCACCCACATTTCCTGAGAACTTACATTAATATATAATAAGTATTTCTCTTCCATGGAGGAAGGGGAATGAAAGCTGTTTACATACCTTACAAATGTGCTGCAAGACCCACAGCCTGTGTGGCAGAAGTTCTACAAAGTGCCTTGAACTTCTCAGATGAAAGGTACTATAAACACATTAAAAAAAAAATCAGGAATTATGTCTATTCATTTCACAAAGAAAAAAACAAAAGCACAGGATGTAAAATGGGCTTGCCCAAAGTTCTGTTGAGTAATTCAGAATCCAGAAGGGGGAAAGGCACAGAATTTAATTTTTACTGACATAGCATAAAATTTACCACTTTTAAACGTTTTGGCCTCCTTCACTTAACAAAATGCACACTATCAACTTTATTTTCTGAGTATTACAAATTAATGTTGCCCTTTTAAAAGCAAAAATCAAAAGCAGATGAATCCTATGCAAATTAATTTCCCAACATTATAAACATTTAACACACAGCATTACAAACACACAGCAAAGTTAAAAGAATTTTACAGTGAACACCTGTATGCCTACCACCCAGCCTACCATGAACATTTGAATGACCTGCTTTATCAAATTACATTTCCTTTTTAATACAGGCATTACAGAGAAATTAAAGACAACGGTCAGAAAATCAATGGATTCAAAAAACAGGTTGAAGTCATTAGGTTAAGGACATGAATAATATTAGGAAATCCTTCTGATACCTTTGTCAGAAATGGTCAGTATTAGTTTACTGTTTAAAGTCAAAATGGACTCAGATCTACCCCCTACTCTTGGTGAATCATTCTAATTGTTTAATATCAGATCGGATCATTATCCTGATTTTTTTTTTAAATCTGATGATTAAAAAAAATCCAAAGAACTTCCCATGTCCTAAAAGGTCCTACATGATGTGGTCCCTGCCCACCTCTCTAATTTCATTTTACCTCCCACTTTTCCCTTCACTCCACTCCAAACTTATTTCATTGGCTGCTTATGTTCTCCTCTTTCCCTTTACTTGAATATTAAATAAGATGCTATCATAAATATGCTTAAGCACATTTACTTTACCCACCCACTTAAAAAAAGAAAATCAAGCTCAATTTGGTATCAACTGCAAACTGGCTCCAATTTAACAGAGTATCTCATATTTTGATGATTATTAGCTATAAACATGTATTCATAATCATCTGGAGGAAGCACCAATAAACTCAGACCAACACCCAGAATGAGTAGCTTCAATGTCTATCTGATTTTCAGTCACATGACTACCATAATTATGAGTATACAAGGACTTAATACTTCAGCACCACAGATTAAAAATGAATCACTTGAAATAAACACTTGAAATAGGAATTTTACAGTAATTACTAACTTTAAACTGTACTGAGAATTTTAATTTATTAATCTCACAAGTACTTAACAATGAGCATGTCCCCAAAGAGCAGACTATAGTGAGACACATTAACACAAGTTTAAAATTTGGTTATCTTAATGTGAAGGTACAAGCAAATAGCTCTACAGGCCAGGTGCATAAAGGAATAAACTTAAGTCGTAAGGGAAGACGAAATACCTTTAGGGACCTTTTAAAACTACAAATATATGTGATTAAAATCCAGTGATTATGTACCATTTATCATTATCACTAGTAGCCACAATGCAATTAAACCCGAGGTGCTGTCTATAGAAGCCCAGCAAGCCCAAATTTGGGCTCTTACAAGTTGAAATATCAGTCTTTCTTCTGGCAAAGTTAACGTGACTCTCTCAGCTCCAGGACAATTAAGAAGGCCCAAAGTAGCAACCCACCTCCTGCAGTCACAGCGTGGACTCCACCCTATAGACAAGAAACACCTGAAGATCTACCTGTTTTTACTCTAATAACTTACACCCCCACATGACCAGGTTAAACTTTTAAAAGGAGTTAACTGACAAACAAGGAATCAGGACTGAAAATACTCCAGCAAAACCACCACCACATACATATACACAGGAAACTATATTCTCATTATATACTATTTCTCTCCATCCCACCTCAAATCAATAGTCAAAAGAGCCCACAGTTGCCTGATAACATCTTATCAGGGCCTAACTATGTTGGATTTGGAGCAGGGGAGTCTAGGCCTGCCTGTGGAAGAAGCTGGGTCCCTCAAGAAGACCAAAACACCTCACGGCAAGAACTAGCCCAAGCAGAGACCCTGAATATTCATTTACCTATTTCAATCAACTGCTGTAGGACCATCCAAATTTCAGAAAAGAGAGTAAAAGCTTAAGAACTGAAATTTGCTTGGAAAAATTTTCAGATTCTCCCAATACATGAAAAATCAGCAATACATAAATGAAGAAACAGTTGGAATAAGTTGAAAGTCCTGAATTTTAGCTGACTCTAAGCAAGCTGTTTGGGAGTACATGGAGAAGATCTTACAGTGAAAATAGTTCTGGCTGGCACCTGACTAGACATATGACCTTGGGAAATTTACTTAAGTCTCTGGGACTCAGTTTCTCATCTGCAAATGGGGTTGGACTACAAGTCCTAAAGATTCCTTTCAGGTCTAAAATTCTTGATCAGTGAAAAAGTCAGTGGATTCCTACTCTCTTCTTCCCTCTAGTACAGATATTTATGAGAACAGAGGCTATAAGTCTAGGACTAGACTTTGACTAAAACCAAGTTCCATCTTATATATACTTTTTGTTTGTTTTCTTCATCTTATATATTTTATGTCCCCAAGAGCCACTAGTGCTCTAAAAAAGTAGATAGAATTACTCAAGACAATTTATCAAAAGAGATCCCTCAAGTTATCCTTTACGATTAAGAATTAATCTTCTATTTCAGTCCAAACAATGTCACTTGTGCCAAAAGCTCAAAGCAGCATCTCTCCCAATTTAGCCATGTCTAAAGTGACAATCAGGCAATGGTACATAAGCATTACACATCTGGGTGTGTGACACCAAGTGGCGGAAAAATTCTCACCACATACAACATTTAAAAGGATTTTTAAAGTATTTTTCCCCCTTCAGATCTGGCAGGAGTATAATCTGATCACACATCTGCAAGAAACATTTACTTCAATAAACTGTCTTAAACACAAAAAGAATCAAACGAGTTACCAACAGAGGTAAAAATTTAAAATAAGGATCATTAAGAAACACAAGTGAAACCAACTCTGGGAAAAAGAATGCCAACCTTCTATCATAAACTACTAAACATGGTTTTGACCAAATCAATTTGAGTGCAAATAATACTATTTAGTGAACGTATAACTGGATCCAACAGGTAACTAAGGACAGATGTCCAGGTGATTCCTAATCAAGGCAGTAATTTAGACTAAGCAAAACTGCAAATTAATACTTTATTTTGATGACACACAGTTTAAATCATGAAAAAATGTTCCTTTCAACTGGAAAATTCCCTTTTTTTAAATACCGAAGAATTCTAACCCTTAAGATTTCAACACTATATTTTACTTACACAATCTCAAAGCATACTGCATTAAAAAAGAAAATACCCAAAACATAAGTGGACTTCACGCAGTATAAAACGGTGATTCATGTTTCATGTTTAACGTAAAAGCCAAAATGGAGTTGTAAAGAGTTTCTTTCCCATTTCAACTCCAACAGCCACGCGCGCTTCACAGGGGCCGGCTGCCCAGCAGCTCGTGGGGCCCAGCTTAGAGCCCCCACCCTGCCCGGCGCGGCCCTAGGAGAGGAAGCGACGGGGACCGAGAGCTGGCGAGCGGCTTGGGCTCCAGCAGGCCTGGCCGGGCGGGGGAAGGGGCGCGGGAGGCCGCGGGGCGCGCTTCCGGGGACTGCGCGGGCGGGGCCGTCGCTTCGGGAAGCGGGGCCTGGGTCCCCGGCCTGGGGTCAGGGTCACGGGCCAGGGTCCTGGTGCTGCCGGCCGAGAGCAGCAGGTGGGGCGCGGCCGCGGCGGGGCGGCGGCTGGCGGGCGGCCGGAAGAGTGCCGGGCGGGCGGGCCCGGGTCACCGCGGCGCCAGGAGGGAACCCTCTCGCTCACCTCAGGCGACGACTCCGAGTCCGGCCTCTCCGCGCCGAGGACTCCTGTCCGCGACTCGCAAGCTCGAAGACTACTGCGGGTGGCTGAGGAGGCTGCGGCGGACTAACGAGAGAACCGACGGAGAGCAACGGGCGGGGAGCGCGAGAAAGCAAGAGCGGGCGGCGACGGCGGCGGGAGGGCGGGGAGAGACGTGCGCGCCCCCGTGTGCCCATCGGGCTCGAGCCGGCCCCAGTCGCGGCCCCGCGCACGCGCGCGCACTCCCTGCTCAGCCACGATTGCTTAGGAGCGTGTCCACACCCTAAAAGCAAGACTCTTAACCAATCATTGCAGCCGCGTGGGGCATCATGGGAACTCCTGGGCTATAAAAGACCTGGTTGCTATTTTATACTCCTCGAGTCACTCATCCTTTAAGCAGGGTGGGGCTAGGTGCGCGTGCGCGGTTTTAACACTCCTCCCCAAACTGCCAACTCTTCGCGCAAGCGGGGTAGACGCGCCTTCCGTGGGTTTACGCGTGCGCACTAGCGGGCCTGGCTCCGGAAGACCAGACGCCTGCGCAGTGGGGGCTACGGTGACAGTCCCCTGGCTGGGACGCCGGCCAGTCATGGCGGAGCCTTGGTCTGGGCAGTCCTTGCAGGCTCTGCCGGCCACGGTGCTGGGCGCTCTGGGCGCCCTCGGCAGCGAGTTCCTGCTGGAGTGGGAGGCGCAGGACACGCGCGTGACCTTCTTCAAGCTGCTGCTGCTTTGGTTGGTGTTAAGTCTCCTGAGCATCCAGCTGGCGTGGGGGTTCTACGGGAGTACGGTGACCGGGCTGTATCACCGGCCAGGTGAGACGATCCACCAACTTCCGTGGGCCGGCCACCCCCTCCCCCACCGACTGTACCTTTGGGCTCCCCAGAACCCCCCCAGACTACCAGTGGGTCCCCTGAGAACCTCATCACAACTTAACGCTGTACCCTGACCCATGTCAACATACCATTTCACGCCAGAAACCCCACCAGTCCACCCGTCACATATAAATTCCTTTCAACCCCCGTCAGACAATACCACTAGTCCCTTAGGGCCTCCACTACACTCTCCATCAAACAATACCACTGGCCTCTAACCTGACCTGGGCTGATGCCTGCTCAGATACCCACCCCCAGCTTGCTGCAGCTCTGGATGTGTTCCTGCCCCCAGGTCTGGGCGGCCAGAACGGATCCACACCTGATGGCTCCACGCATTTCCCTTCCTGGTGAGTAAATCTACTCCTATGTCTACCCCATGCTTAGCAGGCAGAGGCCACTCCTGAGCTGAGGACAGGGGAAGGGAGTTCTCAGGGTAGGAGGCCACCAGCTTTGCAGCAAACCCCAGGGTCTGCACTAGAGCTCAGGCTTCAAGTGACATCGATGTCTGAACAGCCCATCTGTATGCTGTTCAGTAACCTGTGCGGTGGGTGGCATTATTGTCACAACTTCAGAGATGTAGTGGCAACTCCACTGTAAGAGATGTAGAGATTCCACTGCACTGTAAGCCCCTCAGTTGGAAAGGCAGGAGCCTCTGTCCTTAGTGCACTGACTGAACTCATCAGATCAGCCTTCTAATCTGTAAAACATGAACTCACTAATCAGAGCGTTCATTCAGTTGATCTCTGAGCTCCTACCACATGGCAGGGGCCACACTAGGTCCAGAGAACAAGAACAACCCAGGCCCTGCTCACAGGTGGAACCAGAGATTTAAAAGGGGAGGGCAGAACCTAGTGGCAGGGCAGGAATAAGGCGCAGATGTAGAGAACGGACTTGAGGACACGGCGGGGAAGGGGAAGCAGGGACGAAGTGAGAGAGTAGCATTGACATATATACACTACCAGATGTAAAATGGATGGCTAGCGGGAAGCTGCTGCATAGCACAGGGAGATGAGCTCAGTGCTTTGTGATGACCTAGAGGGGTGGGACAAGGAGGGTGGGAGGGAGGCTCAAGAGGGAGGGGATATGGGGATATAAGTATATATATAGCTGATTCACTTTGTTGTACAGCAGAAACTAACACAACATTGTAAAGCAATTATACTCCAATAAAGATATTAAAAAAATTTTTTAATAAATAAAAGGGGAGGGCAGCAGTGCAGAGGCAAGGGTCATCAGAGCTGGTATCTTCCAAGTCAGACACCTTAGCTGAGGGCAAAGGCTAGGGTGTACCAAGCAAAGAGAATGGACAGAACAAGGCCTAGAGGCAAGAACAAGGGTGACATATTGGAAGGATAGACAAGGCTGTGACGCTGGAGGTCAAACATAAAGGCATGAAGGGACCTGGAATACCCTATCCCAAGTCTCAAGGAGCTATTGGACTCAGCAAAGCCATGGCCTGACCGAATTTGCTTTTATAACTGCCTGCTTCATGGCAAATAGGTAAAGGTGTCCAATAGAGAGGGCAAGAAGCCAATTAGGAGGCCTGCCACTGCACAGGTTTCTGTCCTTGGCAACTGGCGAAGGATGGGAGCACCATTCACAAAGTGGAGAAGCAGGAGGAAGAATAAGTCTGCAGGGGAAAGTGGTGGACCCAGTGAGGGCTGTGGAAGCTCAGCAGAGAGGTCTAGGTTATAGTGTGGCCTTACTGAGCCCAGCTCAGCCCCCACAAGGGGACTGTTATGCTGTCCGCGGAATAACCCCTCTTCTCTTCTATCACTTTCAGGGAAACAGCAGCAAATGAACCTCTTAAAACCCACAGAGAATAAGGGAAGGCAGCAGAGGGGTCTCCAGGAACATCACCAGGTCTGCTGGCTCCCATACTGGGTTCTGCTGCTGCCCAGACCCCAGGGACGACTGCAGCGGGGGTAGAGGTTGGGGCCAGGGAGTATGCCAGTGCTTGCAGGGCTGGGCCTCCACTGCCCTTGGTCTTGCCTCCAGCAGCCCCAGGCATTGGGCCAGTAAAGAGTTTGCCTGTACCCTGATCTGGGTGGCTTAAGGAGAGAAGGCATGCTTATCCTTTCAGGGGTCAGCTCAGAAGCCTCTGGGTTGGGGAGGGCAACAGTCCATTTTCTGTCTTGGCTTTTTCCTGTTCCTCTTCCCATCCCCCTGGGATGTGACCCTGTAGAGATTTGTCCCTGGGAGGAAGCCTGAGGTTGACCAGCTCTGAGATTTGTAAGGCAGGTCTGTTTTCCCCTAAGCCTGGGGTTTCCTTCATTTGGTTTTGCTTTGTTGGCAGGGACCCAGGGAATCCTAGCCTGGACACAGCCTTATATTTTATGGTTACTTAGCTGGCCATTCAAGTGTAAGACAGTGGACACCAAACACCCACCTCCTTTGGCTCATCCTGAGCTCTCCAGGTGTGAGTCAGGCTATATAAGTTGTCTTTTCATTGTACTCATATTCCTCTTAACCCCTCCCAGAAGGAAGCTGGGTAACTAAAAGCGGCTGAGTCCCAGGGGTGACCTCCCATCTCCACTGCTTAAGTGCCTGTGGGGGTGTGGATCTGTACCCTGCCCCTCAAAGGGACATACTGAGCTGTTTAGTGCAAAGCGGCCCCATCGTGCCCTGCAGCCTCACCACTTCCCATCTTGACCTGGAACCAGAGGAGCTTTGTTCTAAGAGCCCACAGGCTAGGCAGGCCTGCCACTTCCACAGTGAGCCAAGGAAACTTATAAAGGTATAAGTGGCAAACACCAGTTCCTGAAAGCAGTGTGGCCCTAGACCTGCCTGCTTCCCTGATGGACATACTTCTGCCTGCTTCTGCTGGGCCAGCAGCTACCTCAGTGTCCCACTGCTTCCTTCCTCTCTGTTAAATGTCACATTTCCATCTGGCAGCCTTTGCCTAGGCTGTCTTTGCAGAGTGCACTGGAGTAGGACTATGCTGAGCTCATGCACGAGTACTCCGGAGTATCTTCTGGCTGGTGGGATGATGGTTCTGAAGCCCCAGGCCTACCCATTGACAACAAACACCACACTCAGAATTGGTCCCATATTTCACCCCAGGCTCAACTGAGGATGTGGCTTATTAAACATGGAAGTGCATCAGCTGTGTGGTTATTGACAGGACAGTGTGCACGCACGGGAAACTGGAGAGGGAACACCCTGGGGGCTGTTGCCCCTGAGCACCCAGAATACAACTTGCAGAGGTGGAGAGGTGATGCCATCTCCCTGGGGGAGCAGTGGTGGTGCCCAGTAGGGGCACTCTCCCCTTTAGTTTTTATAGACCTGCCCCTCTCAAGGGGAACCCACTCTGAGTCTGGGCCAGGAAGGCAGGCATTGGACTGGCATCCTAGGAACCCTGTGGACAGAGAACAATGAAGCTAGAACTCTAGCAAGCAAGAAGGAAGGAAGCTCATTTAATGTTTTATTTTCTTTAGGAGTCAGCGGAGTCCAGTAATAAGTCCCAGGGACGAAGGTCAGCCCAGGATAAGGCAAGTCTGGGAGGAGGCCCAGCCTGCCCTACAACAGCCCTGGGGCTCAGAACAGGTGGTGAGCCTGGCATGGCTGGCTGCTGGGCAGCAGGCTGGGCCAACTGGAGAATGTGAAAGAATGAGTCCATGCCCCCCTCAGCCATCCCCAAGTTTACACACGGGCACCACAGCCCTACTAGGCCAACCCTCTGTGAGTCAGGAATCATCCCTGCCCAGGAAGAGGCAACAGTTTGAATTCATGGAAAGTGAACCAGAGGAGGTAGCCGGCACTGCCCAAGGTAGTGACCCTTTGCAGTGTGAGAAACCGTGGTGAGGTAGGTTGGGCAGGCTTTCTCCTCCCCCTAAAGGTGAGTCTTTGCTCCACAGGCAGCACCTGGCAGAGTGGAAGGGCGAGGTGCCAGAACTGATGCTTCTCCAGCAGGCAAGAGTGGGGTCAATGGGACCGTGGGCTGGTCCATCACTCAGAAATGGGGTCTTGAAGTTGCAAGTGGCACAGGATGAAGTGGGAATAGGTGGTGTGACCCCGTTACCCAGACAACCAGTACCAGCCTCCACCTAGTCACCCCAAGTGTGTTCTGCCTCAGCTTCCTGACAAACCCCTTGTACAAACCCCTAGCCCCTTGTACAGTGCCCTCCAGGGTAAGGCTCCTGGAGGAGAGGGCCCTGCTCCAAGTCATCCTCACTTAAGGGTATAATAGTTTGTGGGCACAAAGGGCATCTTGCTGACCATGGCCATCTGCTGCTTTCGCCGCACCTCTACCAGCAGCAGGGTACCTGGCCGACTGTACTCATAGGGCACATAACCCATCGCCACATTCTTCTTTAGGCAGGGTGAGGGGCAGCCACTGGTCACAGCACCTGTCCAGGCAGACGCCATGTGTCAACACCACCCTGCCAGCCCAGGGTCCCCACCCTCCTAGGGAAGAGACAAGGGCTCTCCAACTTCCCTGGTCAACCTACCAAGCACAGTACCCTCCGTACTCAGGATGGGGTTGTGCGCCCGCACAGGAGCCCCCTCACACATTAACCCCACACGCCTCCGCTGCACCTTGCCCTTCAGCTGGGGAACAATGACTGAGGCTCCTGGGAAGTCCATAGCAGCTCGGCGGCGCTTCCCTGGAACATGACACATCAGATTTAAGCCAGAGTCCGTAGGACCCCTGACCACAGGAGGTCCTAGTGACAAGGAACCCAAGTGACATCTATCCAGCATCAAGGCCCCTTCACTCAGGCTGCCCCTAGACCCCATTCCTCCCCTGCAGTGCGGTCAGCCATCCACCTACTGACCCCTGGCCTTGGAGGCCATGCTCCCCATCTCAGCTTGCTGAGGGTCCTCAATATCTACTGGGCAAAGCCACTGTGGTACCTTCAGGAAATGAAGGCTCAGGGAGACTGTGCCACTTGCTCCAGGCTACACAACCTTGGAAGCAGTCCTGGGTTGGCTGGTCTCATCAAGGGTCACTCCAGCCTTCAGGATCCCCTCCCTGAGTGCTAGCCCAGCTTACCCAATGTCCAACTGAGGCTGCCTTCCACAGGTGTGGTGTGTTCATCAATGTCATTCCCATACAGGCAGAGGCCTGCCTCCAGGCGCAGGCTGTCCCGGGCCGCCAGACCTGCCAGCTTCACCTCTGGGTTTTCCAACAGAGCTGTTGCCAGGCGGACTGCCTCCGCGGCCAGCACCGAGATCTGCAAGGGACACCAGGGAGCAGATGGGCTGCTGGCCCCAGAGTCCTATGCCCTGCACTACCCTGTGCCCACTTCTTGACAAACCTCCACACCATCCTCTCCTGTGTAGCCACAGCGGGTCACACGGCAGCCAGACACGCCAAACACCTCCATCACAGCACTGGTCATGAAGGGCAGTTTCCTCAGATCATCTGCCACGCCAGCCTGTAGCACCTGAGCTGCAGTGGGGCCTGGGCCCAGGGAGCCAATAACCAAGTGTCCAGGTCCTGGTGCCCCAGAAAGCTGGATCACAGCCCTTAGGGACCAGAACAAGCCCTGAGCAAGCCCCACTCTGCAGGTGGGAGAAGATGCTCTTGCCCACAGCCCATGGAGCCTTGTGGCAGGTAGAAGGAGGGCATGATACCAAACTTAGAATTATGGTGCACCATCCTCACCTTCCCCTGGCACGGCCTCTCTGCCAAGCAGTAGAGGAAACCTGGAAGACAAAGTTCAGCTCCAAACCCAGCCTGGCCCACTTACCTTGCAGGGCTAGCAAGGCATTATCCATCACCTCCAGGCCCACATCGTTGCCCATGTTCTGAAGCTCCCTAACCTTGTCCTGAAAGGAAAGAAATACCACATTTGCTCTGGGACCCCTTACTGAGCACCTGGTGCTGCAGAGCTCAGCAGAGTAGGCTAGTTCCCGTCTTAACAAGGTCATATAACTACTAAGTGGTAGGGATGACTCAAGCTCAGGTCTGCCAGCTCTAACACCAGGCTCCAGCCTTCCATCCTCACCAGAGGATCCTCACTTAGGGGCCAGGATCAGCTTCACCTCCCCATCTCCCCCACTTCCCCACCACTGAAACTTAGCATGCTCCAGGGAGGGCCCGCTCTGGCCCACTGTTCTTTCAAAGAGCCATTGTCTGAGCTCCTTATCCATTCCAGGTCTGTCCTGGAAAACAAGGATGCTGCTCTGTGAACAAGGAGGACAGGGTACCTGGGACACAGAGGGGCTATACCTTCATGAGGGTCAGGTCCTTTTCCCAGCATCCAGCATTGGACACCACATACAGGTGTCCCTCAGAGGTGTTGGTCACAATCAAGTCATCTAAGATGCCACCAGCCTCATTGGTAAACAGCGACAGTGTTCCCTAGCATCAAAGTGGAGCATCATTGCCTCCAGGTCCAAGAGGCCAAGGTCAAGTGTGAGTCAAACACGCCCCTGGGCCCACTCAGCCACCACAAACTCATGAACCCTCGTGAATAGAGCTGAGGGGTGGCAGTGCAAGAAGCAAGGCTGGGTCAGCCCAGGCCCCTGCACAAGCCCAGGGTTTTTGATCCTCATACACTGAGAAAGGTTTCACCTCTTCCCCACCTTGGGGGACACCTCCCTGATCTGGTGGGGCCTCTGCACCCCTGCCCATTTAGTACAGAGAGCCCCTCTCACACTTAACCCACCATACCTAGGACTTGATGCTTCATCCCACCCAGACCTAGGACAACTCAGTCTGTGCCCCAAACCCCAGGACAGAAGCTTCAAAGTCTATGGGAATTCCCTGGTGGTCCAGTGGTTAGGGCTCGGCACTTTCACTGCTGAGGGTGAGGGTTCAATCCCTGGTTGGGGAACTAAGATCCAGCATGGCCAAAAAAAAAAAAAGAAGCAGCAGCAGCTTCAAAGTCTATCTTGATGATCCCATGTGCTCCACAACAACCCTCTATAACACTGAGGCTGGCTGGCCTCAGCCTCCCCACTGGATGGACAGTATAAGAGCCTGAGGTTAAGAGGTCACATGAATCACCTGGGGATCTTGTTAAAATGCAGGTTCTGATTCAGCAGGTCTGAAGAACTGGCCTGAGAGTGTATCCTAACAAGCTCCTATATGACGATGAGACTGCTGGTTTACAGACTACACTTTCGTTTTTCTTTGGCCGCACAGCTTGTGGGATCTTAGTTCCCCAACAAGGGATTGAACCCAGGCCCTCGGCAGTGAGTGCACAGAGTCCTAATCCTAGTCACTGGACCGCCAGGGAATTCCCAGGACTACAATTTAAATTGCAAGGGGTTAAGCAGCAATGGAAGGTCACAGAACAGGACGTGAACCTGGGTTTCTGGCCTTCCAGCTTGATGTGGTGGGGATGGGATAGGACCCTCCCTGCTGGGTGTCTGGGTGTCTGGACATGACTCAGGGACTCTGTCCCCCAAGAACGAAAGCCCTGAGAAACTGTGTCTGATCCATCTCTGTGCCCCCAGGCCCGAAGCAGGGACTCAGACTGGTTTGCTGGCTTATGACTAAGAACACTCATTGAGCAGAAATAAAAGAGAGGCCCACCTGGTTTGGCTTTAGCTCTGCAATATCTCCAACCACTAGACTTTCCATCAGCTTCACCCGGTCATGGCCAAATATCTTGGTCTGGGAAAGAGATCAAAAAGCCTCTGGAAAGCCACGGGGCTAGGAGGCATCCTCCCTGCCACCCACAGCACATTCCAATCCAGCCAAAGTGCCTGACTAGTCTTTTGGTTCTGCAAGTGGCAGAAGCCCTACTTTCTGACTCCCCCACACCCGCCAATACAGAAGAGATGCACTCAGGGAGGTTAGGGAACTTGAAAGGGCCCAGCACCTTCCTGAAATACCCCCTTTTCCAAACCAATACCTAGGACAGTGGATGACAATGAGTGGCAGCCCTGGAAAACCCAGGACGTTGAGGCACTCCACTAAGTGGGAGCAGGCTAGAGAGATAAGACAGGAGATGATCAAGAGACCCTCTGAGTCAGTTTACTGGGGGCCATAGTACATTACACCCTTGAGACCTCCAACTCTTCTGAGAGGGCTGCCCTTGGAATCCAGCTCCCAGCAAAGAAAGCTGAGGGTTGCACCATTGTGGACGGAGAGGAAGCCCTGGCCTGGCAATCAGCGCACTCCCCTGGCTCACCTGCAGCATGTGGGATACGTCAAAGAGCGAGCAGTGCCGGCGTGTATGCAGGTGTGAGTCAACGTGGCTGTCCCGGTACTGCACAGGCAGATTCCAGCCTGCGAATGCCACCATCTTCCCGCCATGGGCCAGGTGGAAGTCATAGAGTGGTGTCCTGCGGAGCACGTCCTGCGGGCGGCCGGGCTCAGTGCCACCAAGGCCCCAGACCCCAGCCCTCTTCCTCCCCCACCCTCCAAGATTGGCACCACAACCCAGCACCCTCTATCCCACCTGTGCACTACTGAGAGAACGGCGCAGGGCCGAGGGGAGCGCCTGGAGACAGGAGCCCAGATGGGACATCATGCTCCCAGCCCGCTGCATTGTGGCCGGCAACGGGTGCAGCCGACGCACAGAGGCCACCACTCTGACAGGCACGCTGGGAGATGTAGTCCAAGCCCTGCTTAGATAGGTCTCTCCCCCGCCCAGGGGATCAGAAGAGGGAGTGGGCAGCCCCAAGGGCAGACGCAGCTTTAGAGCACACAGTGCATTGACTCCCAGCTGCAGGGAAATAGCCCCGGGCGCTTCCATCTGATCAGGGCAGATTGGGCGGTTGGAGCCAGTTAAGCCACTCAGAAATAGAGCTGGGGGCTAGACCTCCCCCTGCTGACTGCCCTGCCTCCAAAGGGCCAAAGTTCTGCAAAGGGCTGAAAGGCCTGAATCACCAGTTTAGGACAATAGGAGTGTAAGGTCGCATGGGGGGAGGGTAAGGGGTGGAGAGGGCACAGGAGGGTGGAGTCAGCCGGGCAGGCAGAGTGCCACAGTAACCTGGCCTCATGTGAGGGTCTCCAGCTCTCTCGCTGGGCAAACATAGGCAGCGAAAACAGTGATGCATTCCACAAGTATTTATTGATCTTGCTGCACACTAGGCCCTGTGCTGGGGACAGAGCTGTGCAGGAAGCAGGGTCCCTGCCATCCCAGGGACCTCCCCCCTCACTCACATACACACTGAGAGCTGCTACTCCCTGAGCACAAGACTGATCATTACCCTCTTAGCAAAAGCTGAATGGGGCTTAGTAAATGACCCTGCAGGCAGATACCACCTACAAGAACCCTGATAGGTGACATCAGAAGGTGGCCACCAAAAAGTGGCTGCCCTTCCCCTAGAAAGCTGTTGAGCCACACAAACATCCAATTTTCCAGGTCCAACACATGTTGCAGTACTGCCTCATAACAGCCCCCAGAAGAAAGCCAGGAAAAAACAGAGAGAAGCAGGATTTTCTCATAAGGAGCAACAGCCTGTCTTATTCAGCTGCTGGCCTGGGGTTGTAGAAAACCTCAGCCTCTTAAAAGACACCAATGAGAACCCTCACCTGGCCCCCACCACCACCACCGAGGTTGATCTCTCATCACACTGAGCGTGGCTCTTAGATGGGGGCAACTGGAAGAGGGACAAGGATGCGCTTTGGGCTCTGTCAGATGGCAGACAGGTCCCAGGACTCATTTTCAGGCCCCAGCCTTGCCCAGGGCACCCGCCCAGACCCGATGGATGGGGGCAGACCCATTTGAACACACATCCAGGAGCCAACTCGGGGACCAAGGGACTCAGGCTGCCCAAATTCCCAGCTTTGTGTGGCTCCCTAGGCAAGCAGCAGAAGAGTTTAGATAGGAATTTTCTTTTTGTGGGCATAATACAAAGGGAAAGAAGACCATAAGGGGGCGCAGAAGGAAAAACGCGGCTCCTGTTTCTCCTTCAAGCTTCCAAACTACGACTGCCAAGTTATAGCAGTCTTCCAAGGCTAGACAGAGCAGGTTCTAGTAGGTTACCCCAGCCTACTACACTCAGGGTGAGGGAGCAGGCAGAAGACAGGAATGCTCATGTTGGCAGGGGAGACAGAGGGCACAGGGGGATTCTTAGTAATAGAACTGGAGTGTTTTTAGGGAGGGCGAAGGAGGAGGTTTGGGTTGCAGTCAGGTGAGGACAGAGTGTATCCCCTCCAGGAGTTCATGCTAAAGCAACACAGTGAGCCCCCAAGAATCTTGACTCTGTGAACGTAGTCCCGACAGAATGCGCATGCAGGCAACACTCGGAATGCACAGGGACAGCACTTCAGCCTCTGATGGCCCAAGCTGGGCCTGGATGGGCACGGAAGGCCGACGTCTTGACTAAGGGCCACAGCTCAAGTGTAGGAGAGCAAGTTCAGGTCATAACAGCCATCCACCTGCAACACAAAAGACCATCAGATCTGACCCATTCAGGCCAACGGGAGCCAAGCAGAGGGAAGCGATCACTCACATCAAAGCGGCCGATCCTTGTGGAGGTATGACTGGCCCGGATCATCTCTGTCAGCGCCCACATCTGCTGTACCTCGGATGATACCCTGCTGGGGTCTGGGAGACCCTGCTCCAGAAGGAGGGGTCAGTGGCCATGGGTCTCTCCCCAGCAGTGCCCTTATAACTCCAGATAGGCCAAGTTGGGCTATGGGGCCCTCCAGCTGACATTCCCAGATGACTTGTGAAACATGAGGATGGGGCCTGATGTGGAGTAGGTGGCCCGGCCCCACACAGAGATGCCTCAAATCCCAGGAGGAAGGTGCACAGAGTGAACCAAGGTCCCTGGGTCCAGCCCCAGATTCTTGCAGAAAGGGGTCCCCTTGGGCCTGTGCTGGACACCAGAGCTGTTCGCACATGGTTCTTAGCCAGGGTAAGGGCTTACCTCAAGAAGGGGAGCAGGCTGCTCACAAGGCACTGGGTGCGAGAGCCACTTCGGGAAGGTCATGGAAGGGCTCTGCAAAGCAAAGGCATACTGCCCTGAGGCAGGCAGAGTAGGAGAGACCTGGAACCAGATCCCAAGGTCCTGAAGGCAGAAAGAAGGGCCCCTGAGCCCCAGAAACTGGGAAAATCCCGTTTAGGTCCCAGGGGCAGAAGACTACCTAAGCTCTTCTGCTATGCAGAAGGAAGCCCCACGAAGACAAGGAGCAGAAGTATATCTGGGTACCTGAATGTTCTAGATCTGAAAAAGGCAGGTAGCCCCAAAGGTCAGGGGATATGGGGACGTGGCCTCACCTCTTATCATGAACTTCCAGCATTCCCACCTGGCTAACTTCCATGAAGGACTCCTGAGTCTCCCCATCCTTACCCATCCACTCCCACCTGTACCCCCAGGCCTCCCAGCCATAGCTAGGAGCCTCCTGGAGAAAGGGCCAGCAAACAGCTCTGAGCTAGTCACTTACCTTTGGTCCCTGTTGGTAGATCTGCAGCTCCTCCACCGTGAAAGACAACCACAGTGGTGATGGCTGTCGCAGAATCAGGCGTAGTTCCAGTACTTTGCCCATGTCACACAGCATCTGACACATACACACAAGGACCCACCGAGGCCCCAGCTCACTGCCCAGGAGCCAACCAGCAATGAGCCAAGGTGCTTCCTCCCCAGGCCTTTGAGAAGGAAACAGTAGTTCCTCCAAGGCACTTGCCCAAGAACCACAATTTAGGCCAACCTTGCCCGCCCCTCTTCCCTCATGGTATCCTGGCCCAATCCCCAGGCCTCTTGTGAGCCCTCATCTGGGCTGCCCTGGCCATGCTGAGTCCCAGCTGACCTGGTGCTTGAACAGCGATACATACTCCTGAGCTCCCTCCTCACTGTGTGGGTCAGGCATCAGGCAGTAGTCCCGAAGGCAGGTCACCCACTTGGCTGGAGTGTGTGTTGAGGTGTGCTGGCGAACACGGATGGTCAGAAAGGCTGTGTAGTAATTCTTAAACATGATCTCCTGCAACTAGGGCACACATAACCCACCACAACAAATCACACCTAGGCCCCGGGCCTGATGGGTTCAAAAGCACCATCTCTTCCTCCACTTAGGAATGTACTCTTCTACCAATCTAACAATATCAACAAGAATCCACTGGGGCCCAAAGAGATTTTGCCTTCTTAGAACTCACAGTCTAAATGAGCACGTCATGCAAACAAACCATAACCTCGGATCTTGCTGCATGCCCAAGATGCTGTGAGTGGTCAGAGCCCTAACTCTAGATGAATCAGAAAATGTACAGATGAGTTCATCAAGTGGACCATGAAAGGTAGAAACTGTAAAGTAGCATAAACAAAGGAACACCAAGGGGTGACAGGACCTGGCATACCCCTGGAACAGAGAGTGGTTCAGCCTAGCTAAAGCAGTTCTCATCACTGGATACTCCTCAGAATTACTCAAGGAGGGAATTCCCTGGTGGTCCAGTGGTTAGGACTCGGTGCTTTCACTGCCAGGACCCAGGGTTCGATCCCTGGTCGGGGAACTAAGATCCCACCGTGGTGAGGCCAAAAAAACCAAAAACAACAGCAACAACAAAAAAATACAACAAAACAGAATTACTCAAGGGAATTTTTTTTTTTTTTTTTTAATATAAGTGTACAGGCTCCACCCCAGACCTACTGAATCAGATTTCCAGGGTTGGGCCCTGTAATGAAGTCTCCCAGCTTAGAGTAAGCAACAGCTTGGGGGAGAACCACACACTACAGGACAAAATGCCTGGGGCCGAGAGGCAAGTAGGGCAAAGACACAGAGTGGCTCTGAATGCCAGGCCATTAGAAAGTGGACTTTGTCCTCTCTGTTGAGGTTTGTAGTGTCCAGTCACCCTGCCAGCAGATGTGGAAGGGCAACTGGAGACTGGAAACTGGAGCCACTGGGAAGACCCTGATGAGGGATGATTTGAACCTGACCTCCAGCAGGGACTGTAGGAATGGGCAGGAGGCAGGTTTGGGGGTAACTCATTGTCTAATGATACCCAGTCAGTGGCCAGGAACAAAACGACCTCTCACCTCTATTAGGTTCAAAACTGTACTTCCAGCACCTAGCCTACTATCTCGGCACTTCCGTGTCAGCGCCATTCTGGGCATTGGGGAGAGACGTTGAAGAGAACAGAAGAGGAAGCTGCATTCTAGTAACTGTGTGTTAACTGAAGGAAGAAATAAATGTTTAACTGATTCGTTTGGGCGAGGTACTGCAGAGGCTTTCAGTAAACGATTAAATGGCCGGGACACGCCCGAGTTCCCAGATAAGCCCCGCCCAGGAGCCCCGGTCGCGCCCACTTGCTTGCTCACCTCGAAGGGCGCGACGCTGGGGAAGGTGACATCGATGACCAGCACGCCAGGCCGGCCTTGGGAGGTCCGCACGTCGCCCACCTGCAGGGCCACGGTACCTTTCACATGACAAGGGACCGACACGCGGGACATGGTGGCAGCGGCCGCGACCAAGTAAGACCAATGGTCTTTCCCGGCGTCCCCAGCCGGGCCCCAAGAACTACAACTCCCGAGAGGGCTCGCGCTCGGCCATCCCAGCCAATCACCGATGCTCGGGGCGGGCCCGGATTCGGAAGTGCCTGCGGAAGTGCTCCTTCAGCCAATCACCGAGCGTGCCTTAGAGAGCCACCAGGGACCATGCCCAGAAACGGCCTAGCCGTTCTGGATCCAGTTAGTGCTGAGCCTTATAGGTGCCCTGAAGTCTCAGTCGGTTACTTCCTCTGTGCAGGGCGGGCGTCAGTTAAAGCGCATAAAGCCATGAGCATGAATGAGCATAGTGTCTGGACGACACTGGTTGCAAAAATAGATATTAACCCTTTTTTTACGTACGCGAAGGATTTGAAGAGATAACTCACAAGAAAAGATAAATAGCCAATATACCCATGAAAAGATGCTTAACATTATTATTCATCAAGGAAATACAAATTAGAACCCCACACACCCACTAAACAGACTAAAATTAAAAACTGACA